ATATATATATATATAACTATTATATAATGTGCTACATGCAATATTATACCATGGCTGTATATACATAACACATCCACGGGCACACACTTGTATCAGTTGGATTTACACATGTTATGTGAATTATTTTCAATTTGTGATTTGGTTTCTTATAATCCTAAGATGTGAGGTTTGCTGATTTCGAAGAGTACTTATACGGGAAGAGGTAGGAGCTATTATGTCACATTTATTTAATTCTGGTATATAGTTGTGTCTCATTAAGCATAATCAAATTAACTTTCATGTACAACTTTTTCCACTCATAGTGGTATTTGGAAGTTGTAAATAATTTATAATATATAACACATGAAATCTTACAAGTTTTCTAAAATTTATTGTAATAATTTGCTTTGTATAATTTATTAAAATAAGTTGTTTTACTTTATTTAATAAGTTTTATAATTAAATTTGTCATATTCATGATAAAAGTTTATTAAATAAATACTTAATTATTTATCTAAACATAACCTAAATACATCCAGTACATATACACACTATTCACGCTTTGCCTTCCTACGACAGAAGAAGAATCCTCTTCTATAAAATGATACTTTCTGGGCATTTTCTTATAAAATGTAATTCTGTGGATTTTTTTATAGTCAGAATATATTTCTTTAAGAAACAACCTATCTCAATCATAACTACGTGTGCTATCTTGCAAGTCTAACAAATTAACAATTGGGACAAAATATTATCATTTTTTCTAATCTGAATTAAGAATAGCCGAAATTAAAAGGTGGAAAAGAAAATTTTCGTTGGTCGACTTTTTATTTGTTAAAATTAAATATTATAATTTATTTTTCATATGGTTCCATTCCCATCAATCTATAAGTGAAATAACGTCTTGATTCATGAATCGTTACATCCTATTTATACCATAACCTACTGTTCAATCAGCTGCCATTAATTAGTATATACAAATTGAGATTTTGTTTTTATGCTGTCACTTGCTAGTTTGTGTTGCGTTTTCTTCATTTAAGTGCTGATGAGCCATTCGAAGCATTCTTAGTTCATGAAATATATATATATATATATAAGACTTGAGGCATTTTCTTTTACAAGAAAAGAAAAGATATTAATAAATTGTGTACAAGAAGTACTTAAAGCCAATGTTAAAAGCAATCAAGAAAGAAAGTTTACTCATACATATATATACGCTTATCATGACAAATTTCTTTCGGAATTGATAACTGAGGGATTATGACTGGGAATTTTTTAAAATTTATTAGTACAACAGTTTAGTACCTTGATTTTTGAAGAGTCTATATGGGTTTAAAACTTGTATCAAAGCATGATAATATATATCTATCCCTCTGCATAGCGAATATATGTAGAGCTCTCTTGTATCTGGTTTCATTTCATGTCATGGTTACCCTTTGTTTTGCATGATCATTCCTTGTTCTGACCTGTGATCGCTATTTAGTATCATTATTGTTCTTTGATTTCATACTCATTTCATAAGCATTCAACACTGGTTGAAGCAGATTTTCAGAATGGAATCCAAATTAAAGGCAAATTAATGCCATTGGAAGTCTAACTTTTTTGGTACTGAATATTATTATAGTAAGGGTCTTATGACCAATGATTTAAAAACATTGGTTAAGAAATCCAAAATAAGTTTACATTGAAAATTAGGTTATATTACATGAAAAACCATGAAAACAAATATATCAATAACATTTTTTATTCTTTTATTCTTTAACTAATACTTTAAAAATATTGTTTAGCTAAACTCTTAGTAAGAGATATTCTGCACCCTTTTCCTGAATGCTGATTCCATCACTATCGGAAATGGGAAACCGCTATTTGTATGTTTCCACGTTTAAGTTATTTGTTAAAACATTTTGGAGTTAGGAAGAATGCACCTTGAAACTATCTTGCTTGATAGTTGTATTTAAGAGGAGAAAGGAGAAGTTAGGAAGAGTTAATCCTTAATTGAAAGTTGTTTAATTAAAAAAAGAAAGATTTGAAAGATTTTTTTACACCCTCTAAAATCCTTAAAAAACTGGTTATTTGGGTTTCCCATTTTAAAATTTTTTTTCTCGCACTCTTTCTTACTCTTTCCCCAACAGTATTCTAACTTTTTTGAAAAAAATGTTAAGTATTTCAAGTGATATTTTTTAAAAAAATTTATAAAAAAAACATTAATTTGAAAATTATTAATTTTTAGAAAAATAAAAATATTTATTTTTCATTTTTTTGTAAAAATAAAAAATATATAAATAAAAATATAAAATATAATAATATCATTTATATAATTAAACTTTTATTATCATTTATTTTTAATATTAAACATCCAAATAAAATAAAAATTTAACTTTTTTCTCTTTTTTCCCCTTCTTTTTCCTTCCTCTCCATTTCCGTTGTCTTTCTTTCAAACTCTAAAACAAAATCTGAAGTTTGACGAATGAGTTATTCATTTTTCTCGCATCAAAATTGCTTCAAGCCTTCCTCACCCTACAATTTCGTTTGCCGGTATTTGCTTTTTGCATTACAAGTAGGGATGAAAAAAATTATCTGCACATATCTTAAAAGATGAAATGAATATTTTAAATAAAATTTCAAAGATAATAAAAAAAAGGCATTTGAAACTTATTGAAGTTATGAAAAAATAGAAAATATTTAAAAACTAAAATGAAGTTGACTCCGTCTTTCTCTTTATTATTCTCTCCTTACACGTATCTAAGCAGTTTAAGTTCCAAAACCTCATACTCATCAATATCCATTGACCTACTTACTCGTCGTCTCAAACCAAAACACGTATGCAAAGTGTTATTTCTAGATGCTTATTTTTTTTATAGGACACTTGTATCCTATATAGTTGTCTTATTATATTGTAAACTCACTTCTTTGTTACCACGCTTGATATGAGAATTATAGCATAATTGATGTTTTCCACATATCATTAATTGGAAAGGTACGTGCTAAGTATGATTGATAACAAGAAATAACGAAAGCAACATCATTGGCTTGAAACCCAGGGTGATCCACAGAGTTGAAGATAATTACATTAGACATCTCCATCAACCTTTTTTGTTAACCAATTAGAATCATGCAATCATGTTCCTTATCATCTCACTGCTTCAACTCTGCCTTTGTTTCTAGTTTTCATCTTTGTTAAATAATGTGTTAAGACAAATACGAATAAGATAATCTTATAATACAACAAATAGGTTATGTTTTTATGTAAATGTTGTGTGTCATCCACACGAGTGTAACGTTAGCTTTTCATTTTAAAATTAATAGATTAAAATATATGCGGCTATGAGATAGGTTAAACAGTGTATAGTTGTATTTACATTTATTTTCATCAACTTTTGGAGATAGATTTCACGCTTAAACTTAATTGAAAAATATGTTTTACAAAATCTTTTAAATATATAATTTGAAGAAAAATATCATGATTTTATAAGTTTAGTGATTTGTTTTTATTTTTAAAAAGAAATGGTATGAAATTATTTCAATTTAATTGGTATGAAATTATTTCAATTTAATCTGCGTTATCAAATTTGAGTATCAATGAAGTGTATTAAATACTTGGAAGGACAATTTTGTTGTTTGTAGTAATTTTATCCAATTTGAATAAAATTGCTTTGGGTGAAAAATACCTCTAGTTTAAATATAAACAAATAAATAATTTCATCATTATTTGTAAATAATAAAGTAAGTTCACCAAATTATTTTTATAATTTTAGTTTCTATATTTTGTAAATAATTTTTAAAGAGACTAAAGTATATTTCTACTCCCTATGCTTAACTTACTTTTTATTTTAGCTTTTATGTGAAAAAAAATGTTTTAATTCTTATTATATATATATATATATATATATATATATATTATTTTCACCATTTATTAAAGTTATAGTGATGTTATTGTATTTTTCAAGAACTAAAGTAAAGAAAGAAATTCATGTATGTATAACAACAAAATAAAAAAAATTTATAAGTAGGAACCAAAACAAAATGTACCTGTAAAGATTAAAATAAAAAAGGGTATTAAGTATATCTAACAAATTTAACAGTGTTTTAACTTATATAGCTGACAAGGATTTATCCATAAAAAATTTTCATATAAATACTGAAATATAGAAAAATTTAATTTAAGGAATAAAATGAAAAAGAACTAAATTTATAATTAATTTTTTAAAATAATGATTATCACTATTTATTGATATCTAAATATGTCACTTTAGATTGACGTCGGCACCCTTAAATGCATGCCACATCATCATTAAATGTGATAAAGATCAATTTTAAAATTTATGAAATTAAAATTTAAAAAAAATGTTGAATGAGTAAAAGGAAAAAGCATATGCAAGCCTAACACCAAATATTCCAAAGTTTGATGGTATAAAAATTGAAGACAATAATGGGCTCCTGCTTTTGTGGTTTTGGGTAAAAGCGACTTCTGCTTTAATGGGGAACAAAGACGCTTGAATAATCCCAAAATAGTAATTGCAAAAAATTGTCAATGACATTTTCTTTCAACAATGGCTTAATCCCTTGTTATTTCTTCACTTTGAAAGAGTGGAGCAGATCATGTTTATGATACTTCCTTCAAATTCTGATGCCTCCCATTTCAGATTAAAACAAATCAAAATTTGTCATATGAAGTGTTGATGCAGTAAGAATTAGGAAAAACATTGTTGATGCAGTTATGTTATCATTCTAATTAGGTTGAGAAAAGTTTGTACGTTTTAAAAAATTGGGTATATTATTACATGTTCTAGTATGGCTAATTTGGTTGAATTGGTCAATGAGAGTTGTTCTAATTTCAAATAAAATAGAAATTATGTAGTGATATAATAATAATAATAATAATAATAATAATAATAGAAGATACCATGTGTAATCTTCAGCAATAAACTTGAAAAAAAAAATGTTTCTTGTTTATTTTGGGTAGTGGAAGAAGAAGAATGTATTCTGCACATGGCCTAGTAGATAAATCACATTACAAAAGAATGAATGAATGAAAGAATGAATCGAATTCGTTCATTTACAACTGACTTCCATGGCTAGATCTCAATCACACCCTACAGATTCTTAATCTTCTACTTCACTTGAGGTTGCAACAACTATAGCCAATTTCAGGACAGGAACAAACACAAGGGCAGGTTGTGAACACAATCAACAACCAGAGTTTCCCACTTCCATGACTACGATGTCTTAACTACTCTGATCTATCAGCTTGAGTGCTTCGGTTCTACCATTTATAGACTCCAAAAGCAAGTGAATTTCTACAATTAACAACCCTACAATTTATATCCCAACCCATTTGCGAGTTGACTTTGTCTGCTGACCAATTCATCCAAAGCTTCCTTCATCCAAGCATAAGGGCATCTTTCTTTTGCTTCAGCCACAGTCATCTGCATGATGCATATCAATGAAACTTTAGAACACACTTACAAAATTAATGTCAACCCAATTAAGATATTACAATTAGGAAGATGAATTGATAAGTGATTAAGTGAAAAGGTTACATATCCACTTACCCATTGTCTTTTTCTTGTGTTCATCTCTGGCCAGTTATCCAACTCCTTCTTAACAAGCATAGGGAACATGTATCCCTCATGTTCTATGGGTTGGCGTTTGCTCTTATAATACCATTTACCCAATTTACTCTACAAGAAGACAACAACGCATAAGGTAAGCATCAAAGGAACATTTATTTGGGGGCCAAAAAAGGACTTAATCTAAAAAGTTCTTGCAAATACTCACTTCAACACTGCCAACAACACCAGCTTCTTCTATGGTCTCTCTTAAAGCAGCTTGCTCCATGGATTCATCAGTTTCCCAACCTCCCTGAGACCAAACAACAAACACATGTCAGCAACAGCACCAAAAAGGTTGAAAATGAAGCAAAATTGTTAATCAGAACAAGTTGTGAAGGAGTAAACAATACCTTTGGAAACTGCATTCCAAGACCTTTCTGAGCACTAATCACAAGAACCTCTAATTCCTTGTCTTTTGTTTCATTGTCCTTGTATCTATAAGGAATGCATCTGTTCATTTACCCAAAAAAAAACCCACAAAATAAGTCAGATTAACAACTCAATATACAGAAAAGACAAACTTAAATTCAAGACACAAAATAAGTGCAATTTTTAAAAAAATGTTTTTTTTTTCCACCGGCCATCCAATAATTAAACCAAAGGACAAGCTTTTAAGCCATTTTGAAAAAAATCCAATTGAGAAAACCTTGTAAATTTTAAAATTTGTTCCATTATCTTGAATTCCAGAGATTAAAAATCTCAACTTTATCCTCAAACAAGGAACCCCGGACCAAAACACAGAGAAATCATAGGCAGAAACAGAAACACACCCCACAACTTGGCGACACCCATTGTCATAGCGTTGCAAATGTCTGCCAGTACGAGGAGACACCAAACACATCATGTTTTCCAACTGCTTAGGAAACAAATCCTTAGAAATTTTCTCAGATAAGAGAAAAGGGTAGAAGAATTTGCAAGCCAAATTCCTAGAAAGGAAGAGACCCATCACGCGGCCTTTGATGATCTTGATCTTGTAGTTGTTGTTTAACGGAAGAGAAAAGGGAAATAGAGAAGAAGATGAGAAGAAAGAAGCAACAGACATGAATTGAATTATGGTATGAGACAACCAAAGTGGTATTTATATATGTAACTACCTGTTTTATGGGTGGAAGATGTGTGCGCGTAGAGATAACTACGACGTTCAAAAGACACGACGCATAGACCAGTGCGTTTACTCACGCGCATTTCTTTAAAACGTTTTGTTTTGGGTAGAAAATTTGACAACCTTTATGAATTTCTTGAAAACGATTTTATATTTTTCTTAATCCTTCTCCAAATACTTCTCCTTAATCCCAAGCATGTATAAGTAGTTTTTGCTTTGAGAACTTTTTTTAATTAAGAACCACTTTTACCGTAATTCACGTTATGTTTGAACTCTGAAGATATTATAAATGATGAAATTGCATTATTAAATTTGTTATTTAGTTGGTGTATTATGTTATTAAATTTTTATTTTAATTCTCTTGCACTTGTACATGCTAAACAATGTTTGCTAACTGAGTAAACAAGTCCAGCTTCCACCCATAAAGGCTCTTCCCTACCTTCTTTTTCAACACTATACTATGCATTGTTTATTCATTTTCCAACATTTGGTGTAACCTATTAATAGATTTCATATTAGTTAAAAATGTAATAAAAATATTTATTATGAGGCTTAGACAATTTGTTAACTTTTAAAAGTAAATTATACTTAAGTTTTTAATATGACGCTTAGAGTCTATCCACTTTAAATGCTAAGTCACCTTCAAATCAATATTTTTTCTACATTGATATGTTTTTCAATTATAATTAATTATTAATGATTCATAAAAAAATCACATTAAAGCTTTGATGTGATGATGTGAAATAGCATTATCCTATATCATATTTTGTGAATTAGGTCAATCCTCATTATTGCATTCCTCTTTGACTTTAATTATAACATGTTCCATTATATTGGCGCTTCATGTTGTGCACCAGCATGTAAAACTCCTACTTAATGATGAGCAGAATGGGAGATAATTAGCTGTAAATATGAATATGAAGATGATGAACAAGCTTAATTAATTGATAAAGAATAATAATAATTTAGAAGAAAGAAAGTAGTTGGTCAGAAAAACAATGATTTAGGGCTAAGTATTAAGAGAGGAAATGATTGTTAAAAGATGATAGGAAGGAGGAAAAAGTCACAAAATGAGGGCATTAGTGACAAAATGGGATTTGGCGATTGCAATAAAATAATGAGAAGGGGGAAGGGAGAGTAAACGACAAGGCGTGTGGAGAGAACGCAAGCGTGGGTGGTGGGTTAGGTTTAAAAAACACAGAAAGGGTTAGAGTTAGACGCGGCTTGGAGGTTGGGTCGTTTTCAAAGCACAGTGAGGAAAGTGAAGTCGCAGTTGAAATCACACACGGTTATAGGTGGGAGAGAGAGCCATTAAACATTTTAAAAATTATAATAAATTCTATCTAATTTAAATTTAATTATTTACAATATTTAGTAATTTTATTTAATAATTAAAAATATTTATATAGATATCTTAATAATTTAAAAATAAAATTGATGTTACTATTAAATGAGCGCACGTGATAGTTGTATTAGCTGTTGCTTTGGTATGTCCTTACACTGCAACTTGACTTTCTACAGTGATGTGAGGGGTTTCCACGTATTTTTATTTCTGTTTTCCGTGTCCTTTCCTCGTCAAAACCATCGAATTTACTGCATATTACCAATAGGTAAAATAATAATAATTTATTTAAATGGTGAAAAGAAATAATTAAATTATACTATAATTATAAAATAAAAAATAAACAATTTTATTTAATAAAAATATTTTCAATATTATATAAAAGAATTCAAAGTTAAAATAATTTTAAAAAACTGGCACCCCTCCTCCCATTTCCACTGGTTTTGGTTTCTATGTTCAGCACACATTATTCTCTATTTATCTTTTAATTCTCTCATTTATAATTTCCTCCGTGCTGACTCATTATCATGAACCTATAAAAAAACATGACTTGATATGTTGGTTTATTATTATTATTATTTTTAAGTAAAAAACATATACCCCTTCTTGTTTTCGAGCAAATTGACAGGTTATCTTGTCTAATAATAAAAAATAAAACTATTAGTAGAATTTTATTAAAATAATCACATAAAAATATTTTAATAGAAATTATTAATTTAAACTTTTAAAATAAATCTTAAAACATAATATTAACAAAATTAAAAATAATAAAATAAATGAAAGAAATTAAAATTAAAATTTTCTTAGACAAAATCAACAGACTGGTGGATTAACCCACCTAATATTAAAAATATGAATAAATAATCCCAAATAGCTAAATTACTTAAAATAATAAATTATGGGAAAAAATCAACTTGACAAGTTAGATCCTTCCTACTCCATTTTATAGACTACTTAACCCGTTAAATTAAATAAATTATATCAATTGAATTAACCCAATTTACAAGAGTTGGATTGGGATTTTCATTTATTTCCACTAGGAACAAGCCTCACCAGCCAAACTAATGATATTTTCATACATCTTTCTCATATTATCTAAACTTTATTAAATATCATGAAGCCATATATGATGGTGGTTTTTGAGCTAGTAACTGTAAAAGCAACTTAAAAGTATTTGGTTATGGGATATGATTAATTGAAGACAAATAAAAAAATTTGTAAATTAACAAACCAAAAATCATATTTAGTAAACGTAAATATTATTTATTTAAACGTGAATATGAATATGCTAATAATTAAAGAACATTGTCATGAAAAAGCAACTGTAACTAACGTTGGACATCTTAATACGATGTTGATTGCTGACAGTGGTTTCGTGGATCCAACTCACTCTACTTGAGCCTCCTTTTTTTCTTTCTTTGAAATGTTCAACCTTAGCCACTTATTATCACAAATGGAAGTCATTTGGGGTTCCCCTTACATGTTCCATACACAAAAGTCCATATATGTGATGCTAAGTTTAGGGCTCCACAAATTTTGTTCTTGAAAGCCTCCATAATAGAGTATCACAATCTTGGGTATCAGATTTTGTGCCAATAACTTTAAATGTCGCTTTTTGTAATTAATTTCTGCATATAGAAGCTCAGCATGTGATGAAGGATCAAGTAGGATAAGAGCAACTTTATGCCAAGAAGTAGGAATCATGCACAAAGGCAAAGAGATGCACCCAAAATTGAATAATTAATATTATTTGCTTTGACTTTTATAGTCATTGTCACTGATCATCAATAAGCTGTTTGATTATCAGTATTTTGAGAATTGAACAGATAAAATTTCTCTCTAAAATGATTGATTAATCTATGGACTCGGTTAGAGGATTGATGATTTTGTCAATACCAATTATTTTCATCATCTAATTAAACTAATGAGATTAGAATTGACATAAACTTTTAAAATTAAATGATGATCACAAGATATTTGTTGTAATTCATTTCCAGTTGTTTATAAACTAAAAGGGTCATGTCTAGTGGCAATAATGGAACTTTGTGAAGAAAAGTTAAACTTTAGGAAAAAGAGGATGAGATTGGTTCTTGGACCCGGCATTTCATAGTGCCCTCTATTCACTAAGTTGCTTTGCAATTGTTCCCCATACATGTGTGTGGTGTGGCAAGGAGGTAACATGGACCCATTACTACCACTTTCACTTAGAACATCTTCCACCAATGATACCCTACCAATTATTCATGTATACTTAAAAGAACTTCAATTTTAATTATTAATTAGTCAGTTATTTTTATGTAGTGTTCAAGTGTTAATTCTGACTACATACATGACTTGCAAACTTTAGTGTCAAATTCACTGCTGTAGATTTTTGTTTTAATGTTGTCAAATTAACTACTGTACATTTTTCGAAAGTCCATTAAAACATATCTCGTGCTAAAATTGTGGATCCATTGGACCTTTATTTAATTAAGGGAGTATCCTTTGTTTGTGGATATATATCTGAAGATTTTATTATAATATAAAGAAATTATCACATTAAAAAAATTGGATAAAGTCAAAATATTACGAGGGGAAGATCAATCTATGAACCTAAGACCTTGTGTGAAGACAAACAGCATAAGGACAAATATATAGTAAGTTGCCATTAATTTCTCTAATTAAACTAGAATCAATTCCTGTGTCATTAAATGGGAGAAGAAAAGCAAAAGCCATTATATATAAACCAATTATTAACAAATAACTAAATATTATGCAGAAAAAATTGCACCAGTGGGTACCCTTTTAACATCATTTTTTCTCTTTAAAATTTTCCAGACAAAAAAGCAATATCAAGAATGAAGATACTATGAGAAGAAAAAAGAAAAAAGAAAAAGTCAATTTCAGGCTTTCCCTTAAAATTAAGGCAAATTAAAAATGATTCTAGATAGCAAAAAAGCAGCGCCGTAAACCTAAAATGTCAATCATTCAGATACACGTACCTAACTAATTTACTGGACTTGGAATTTTCTTTTCTATGTGAAATCTTTGAAACTATACAAGATTTCTAGAAAATGCATGTGAAAGCTTTGAAACTGCTGAAGCTTTCTAGAAAATATTAATTTTCCAAGTTAATTAAAACCTAAATGATCACTGAAAAGGTCTTGATGTAGTTTCTATTGGTCCCAATATACATATAATTTCTTTAGGTCGTATTTTCACGACGTAGTTAAAATTTTTAAGTTTTTATTATTTTAAATTATTTTATTTGAATAAAATAATTAAATTTAGTTCATTTATGTTTCTCTTTATTTTAAAATTTGTTTGAACAAGGTAATTAAATTTCATTCATTTAAAATTATGTACTTTTTTAGTTTTAATTTAGATAAATTAATTAAATTAGTTTCGTTCATAAAATTACAAAACTTAAAAATTCTAGTGAATCGTTATTATTTGAAAATTTTATGTATGATGATGTTGACTTCCATGTGACTATTGGACGATAACATGTGGTTCTTACTATAATTTAGCAATAGCAATTAATATCGTAGTTGAGTCCATTTAAAGACCAATAATAGCGATCTAGCTCTAATAGATTTCAAAAGAGAGCTTTGATAAGTAAGGT